CGTTCTGAATTAGCTGCAGCTTTCTAATTAGATTTTTAGTGAGACCTGTAGAATAAACCATTACAGTAGTCCAGTCTACTGAAGATAAAAGCATTGGTACACGTTTTCCTAAATCCTGCTGTGACATTAGTCTTTTAAGCCTAGATATGTTCTTTAGGTGATAGTAAGCTGATTTAGTAACTGTTTTAATGTGACTGTTGCAACTCAGGTCAGAGTCCATGACTACACCTAGATTTCTGGCTTTATCTGTTGTTTTGAACATTGCAGACTGAAGCTCAGCGCTAACTTTTATACGTTCTGCCTTGGCTCCAAAAACCATTACCTCAGTTTTGTCTTTGTTTAATTGGAGAAAGTTCTGACACATCCAATCATTGATTTGTTCAATGCACTTACTCAGTGTTTGAATTGGAGCATAGTCTCCTGGTGAAATTGTTACGTAAATTTGTGTGTCATCCGCATAGCTATGGTAACTTATTTTGTTGTTTTTCATTATCTGAGCCAGTGGTAGCATGTAGATGTTAAAGAGAAGAGACCCCAAGATGGAGCCTTGAGGTACCCCACATGTCATATTTGTCAACTCAGATGTGTATTTACCTATAGAAACAACCTTTTTTCTGTCCTTTAAGTAGGATTCAAACCAATTTAGAACTGTTGCCGAAAGTCCCACCCAGTTTTCCAGTCGGTCTAGTAATATGTTGTGGTCAACAGTGTCAAACACAGCACTGAGATCTAATAATACTAACACTGAAGTTCTGCCACTGTCTGTGTTTAAGTGGATGTCATTGACGACCTTTACAAGACCAGTCTCAGTGCTGTGGTTTGGACGAAAGCCTGACTGGAACACATCGAAATAGTTATTTAAATGCAAGAAATTACTCAACTGTTGAAAAACTAACTTTTCAATGATTTTACGTAGAAATGGCAGGTTTGATATGGGCCTGTAATTGTTCATTACTGAAGCATCTAGATTATTCTTTTTTAAGAGTGGTTTAATGACTGCAGTTCTCAGGGCCTGTGGAAAAACACCTGAGTGAAGAGACTTCTGAGTTCAGACATCTTTACCCTCACAAAAAATATTTTATTTGTTCTGTGTTTCATTGTGAATTTCATTCCAAATGTGTTTTTTTGCGCTTAAAATTGGGCAAACTGTCTCCATTATATAGCATTCTTCTATGACCTCTCTTCGCTCCTCTATCATCACATCTGGTCTGTCTTTTCTTTGGTCTTTTGTCTGTCCCTCTCTCTCTCTTAGCTCTCCACCTGTAACAACTGACCGTGACCCCTTTAGACATTTAATGGGCATGTCTCTCTTTTTCTTTAGGCAAACTTGGCAGTGCAGCAGAATCGTCTGGCCATAGCTAATGTGGACCTTCAGAAGGCCCAGGCTGAGCTGGATGCCAAGCAAGCCGAGCTGGATGTGGTACAGGCGGAGTACGAGAAGGCCATGATGGAAAAACAGGTCAATAGCTCAACTCTTTTCACTCTAAACAAAAGCATTATCCAATCCAGAGTCCCACATAAAAAAGAGGCAGTGTTTGCTTAGAATATCTGTGAAACTACAATGTAATTATGTTATGGAGAGCATATGTTAGCTGAATTTAAAATGTTTTGCAGATACTTTGGAAAAAAAGCCAACACTTTAACACCTAGAATTTATGCATTTACGAGGCATAAGCTACACTGCACTGCTAAACGTTGACAATTTTGTAGCTTTTTTTCAAAGAATGAGCATAAGATACAATTGGACTTCAAGTGTTTGTCTCTTTCACTGAAGCCTGTACTATAATAGGGTAATATAACAGGATTCTGTTTAGTAGAGCTTTAATAGCACATGACTTGCACTACTTAGAAAATTAGATCACTAGTTTGGATCCAGGCTTTGTTCATTTATTTGCTGGTTGGTTTTATTGTTTGAATCCATAAAGTTGGCACAGATGTCTTTGTGCTTTATTGATTTAATTCATAATTTCCTGGAGAAATGGGATTGCATTCTAACTCAGCTCACTCCTGTCCTTTCACAACAACCGTACTATTCGGTTAAATAGTAATAGTAAAATAATTTGCCCTGTATAGACATATATATATATATACTTTTTTTAAGTGATCAATGATTCAACCTGAGTCATGCAAGTGCCCCTTTTGAAATGAATATAACTGAGTCCAGTCGCTCACTGTGGGTTGTTTGTGCAGGTTATCTGCTGTGTATTTTCCATCATCTGTACTCTCTGTTCTGTGAAAAATAACAGCATGTAAATGGAACAGTTTGTGCATCAACAGACTCTGATTAGGATCTGGACAGCTCCAGTTGACTATTTTTATAATTCCGTGATTAGGACGCAGAGCTGTTCATCTCCGTGGCCCAAATGCAAGATTGAAAGGCTCGCTGCAGAAGCCAGATAAACCAGACATTCTTGCTATTGGGCTAATAACCTCTTAATTTGCCTATGAGCGGCTGATAAGGCATAAATGTGATAAATGGCGTAAAGGTGCTCTTGACCTCTTACTATATATTTTAAAAGGAAAATTCAAGAGTGTCAAAGAAAAAAATACAAATACGTACATCTATCTATTGGGGGTCCTGTGGATCCTGAGCCTATGCAAGCCTAAGCTAGCATGCATTAGTTGAAAGGCACGTGCTACACCCACTGCAATTTAGAGTCATTCTACTGACTTACTTTTCTGTCCTCTCTTCCCATCAGACCCTGCTGGAGGACGCTGAGCGCTGCAGACACAAGATGCAGACGGCGTCCAGTCTCATCAGCGGCCTGGCTGGTGAAAAGGAGAGATGGACTGAGCAGAGCAAAGAGTTTGCTGCCCTGACCAAACGCCTTGTTGGTGGGTTTAAAAGCTGGTTTAAGAAAACTATGTCTTCCAAGAGATATCTCTACAAACTCAAATACAGTAGAACATGCTCTGTTTTCCATAGCAGTAATTCTTTTTTGTTGATTTGGGTAATTGTGCTTGAATATTAACACATTCATTTATACAATTTTCGTGGATGATTAAACAAATAATCAATAAATAAAGTCCCTTTCTGATTAAAAGGCCTCATTGTCTAGTTCCAATAATGCATGCTAATACTTTTAGTTACCAACAATATGGTCAAAATGATACAATTTAGACAGACAGTTAATTACCGATGCATTGCGAACATACTACAACTTTTATACTTACTGTTTAGCATTTGCATTTTAGTATTTACCACCTTCTCTCTTTTTTTCTAGGTGACGTTCTTCTGGCCACAGCGTTCCTCTCTTACTCTGGCCCCTTTAATCAGGAGTTTCGTAACCTCCTACAGAATGACTGGCAGCGTGAGTTGAAGCAGCGTCACATCCCGTTTGGGAACAACCTCAATCTGACCGAGCTCCTTATTGACGCACCCACTGTTAGTGAGTGGAACCTACAGGTCAGTACTGCAAAATAATTCAAATGTGTTCGTACAAACTGATGCGCAATGTATCTAATGTATGGGAAAGGTAATCGGTAGATATGCTTTTTTGTGCTTTGCACAACACAACTGGACAAGCAGCGTTTGTATTTATTTAGATTTTGACTTCCATTTTTTAATCTTTTACATGTTTGTTGCTTCTGAATTAAATACTAGATAGCAAAACAAACTGTGTTCAATTACCGTAATTTTCGGACTATAAGGCGCACCTGAATATAAGCCGCAGCAGCGGCATACCACTCTCGGTTCCACTTTTACTTTTGCGCGCTACCTGTCTCACTCTTTTCCGGCCTCCAGCTTTTCCTGCTGGAACCCGCCGCTTAAAGGTGGGGGTCCGCGGACCGGCCATAGAGCCCATAGAGTTAAAGGTGTTGGCCGTTAGCTGTAAAAATCCATAGATTAGCCGCACCGTTATATAAGCCGCAGCGTCGAAAAATAGGGAAAAAGGTGCGGCTTATAGTCCGAAAATTACGGTAAGTAGAATTCTTGAAATAAGACAATAATTTATCTGGAGTTGATAAACATCACACTTTAGCCTGCATTAATTTGTCTTTCATTTTACAGGGGCTCCCTAATGATGACCTGTCCATTCAGAATGGCATAATTATCACAAAGGCTGCCCGATTTCCCCTCCTGATCGACCCCCAGACGCAGGGAAAAATCTGGATCAAGAACAAAGAAGCCAGGAATGACCTGCAGGTGTGGGACTTTTTGCTTTATAATATACGACCTGTGGTAGCTGCCACGTTTTTCAATGAACACTGAGGGCATGTCATTCAGTAACCTTACACAAAACAGCGAAATCAAGGTATTGCTCCTTTGTTTTTTTTTGTCATTAATCTAATCTAATAATACAAACAATTAAAACAAAACTCATTCATAATTAATATATTGAATTAAACTACGACCACCTCACAGTATTTTATTTGTTCGATGCAATACTCTTTATTCCTTCATTTGTAAGTATTGTATGCATTTAACAAGTTAGTCAATTTTCCATTGTTCTTATCCTGTTTCAGTCGTTATAATGTGATATTAAAGCTTTTGGAAGCCTATACAATCTTCCCATTGCTTGTAATAATATGTATTGATGCTCAGTCTCTGCAGTGTGCCATTTGCCATTTTATTGTCCAACATGCTTATTCTTTTGTACAGCACATTGAAAAAGTACCTCAGAATCCTGCATGCAATAAGACCAGCTAAGGTCCTTGGCCCTGTTGGGGGCAATCTCTGAGCCGAGCAAATGCATTCTGCAATCCTATTATGAGTATCCTGAAGACGCAGGGGGTTTAAACCCTTTCCACAAGTGACCCCATCATAACAACTGTATTTATATTATAAGGTTTTCCAAAAATGGCTCAGTGATGCATTATTAGTTTGACGAGACAGGGGTTGGCCTCTGTGTCTTTAGAGGATGAGTCAAAGTCAAGCGTGTTTCTCCTTCATTTCGCTGAATCAGATGCTTCTCACTGTCATTGTCTTATACATTTGTTCATCAGTCTGTTGAAAACAATGTGATTTCAATTAGGGATGCACCGAATATTCGGCCACCGAAAATTACCGGCCGAAAATGGTTAAAAAGGCACTTTCGGCTTTCGGCCGAAAGGGTTCTAGCACCGAAAAAATATCACCGAATGTCTGAGAACAGGGTTACGTTGATCATACTCCGCATATTTGTCCGGGTGTTTTGATTTCAAGTGGTGGACTAATCCCGAAGTGGTGAAAGTCTTTGCAGTTACACCCCCTCGAGAAATGTCAGCTGAACACATTTTACAAATCGCAATCCGCGCCTCTCTCTCTGATATTTTTAAATATCTCCAAGCGGCAGACATGTTGGCTGTGAGCCAGCCGCGAGCATGGTCGCGCGCTGTGCTTGTCGCCGCGTTTTGATTACATCATCACAACAACACGTTAGGTTACCAAACCAAACTTATAGGTGCATTTGTTGTTGTTGTTGAAGGCCTGGCTGTTACAGTCTTTATTTACACTATTTTGTTGTAGGCCTACTGGCCTAGATGTTTATGCAGTTTTAAAGCACCTTGGCTTTGTTCTGAATGCACTTTGTTGTAGTTATCATACAGAGAAAAGAAAATGCACTTGACTTGGAATTAATGTACAGTATGCATTCAAAAGTGCTGAATAAATGTTTTATGGACCCATAATAGTGATTATTATTTAAGTTAAGTTTTGCCATACTCATGTCTTTTTCCATAATCAGGTAGCTGAACAACATTGGTAAAAAATGTATACATTATATATATATAAATATATTTCTCATTTTTGGCCTTTCGGCATTCGTTTTTCGGCCAACTGTTTCCTATTTTCGGTATCGATTTCGACCAAGAATTTCCCATTCGGTGCACCCCTATTGATTACTGATGTTAGTGGTAAGTTATTAAGAATTGCAGTTCACAGGGCGCAGCTGAACACATCAGGCTCTAAAGAATTACAACAAACTGCATCTTACAAAATACTTAGCATCAATTACTTAGGTATCACTATTAATATAAACTAATCTACACACATGAGAGAAATCCTAAGCTTGCCTGACCAGCCGGGCATAGCAAATCCTTTGGCATTGTTTTAAAAAAACAAATTTTGGTTTAACAAACATAAATGTCAAAACACTCGGTTACCATGCTCAGATCAAATGCATGGCTTACACCAGATTAGTTAAAAGGTAAATGTTGCATATAAACGCGTTTCTCCTTTTACATATGCTTTGCAAACACGTGTGTTAACCCATATTTCCAGGGCATGTGTAGTGCCAACAGAGGGAATGACAGTAAGACAAACTGCTACTAGTCATCATTCATCATCAATTTATAAATGAATATATAGTGTGTATGCTTTCCTAGCAAAGCATTCTATGTGTTTAACCCATTATTCATGAGATAAATGGGAGCACAGTTATTGGGTGTGAAAGGTGCTTGTAAACAACCTGAATCAGACCGTAACCACTGATAGCCAATGTCCTGGTTTTACCATGCATGTAATAAAGCAATAGGCGCTTTCACACCGGAGTACTTTTCCCAGTATAGTTCCGATAGTTACTTGAAATGTTGCGTTCACACCAAAAAATC